TTGTCACAAAACTTACAGGTTTGAATTTGGATAAGATCAGATTACGTGGATTGAAACTGTATTTTGCCCTAAATTATGACCATCAAAGTCTAAGGCTAAACAAACCAAAACTAGGACAAAAAAGACTAAATCTAATGCACTGAATTGTCAAAAACTTACAGGTTTGAATTCGAATAAGGTCAAACTACATGGATTGAAACAATATGTGCCCTAAATTATAAAGACCTTTTAATTAATGCCTTTTTGCTTTATTTCTTGTCAATGTTTAAATATATCTATGGTCATTGCTGTACCTACCATGGTAATATTCTTTTTATCCACCTTTTGTTTTGAGTACCCTCTGCATGCCTTCAACTAAAAGTAGGTGTTAATAGTGTGGAAACAAAATCCAAAATGAGTAATGTTGACTCAAATCTCAAAGAAAATCCCAAATATGTTTATCATTGTGCATAAGCACAATTTTCTCTCTGGCAGTTGTCATTTCAGAAAATAGTCTTGAGGACTGGGACACAATTTAACTGGGCTTTGGGTTCTTACTGGTGGTGTAGCTTGTTACTGTGATCTGGTTAACAAACTTGTTCTTCTACTTTGTATGCATGCAGCCTCATCAGATTTTTGCCGAAAGCTATTTAAGTGGTGTATTCTAGTTAATTTTTATTTTTGTTTCAGGTTTAGTAGATGGAATCATACAAAAATATTTTCTGATATTGGCGACGAAGGTGAGGACAGCGATGCTGAAAACACAAATGGTCAAAGCAAGGCATCTTCACTGCTGAAATCTAAGGCATCTTCTTTACGGTTAGTTAACATATGATTTTTTAAAGTTTCTTTGTTTAAATATGCATCAATCAAGTAATAATATTCAGGAGTTTAACCAGTCATTCTTTTCATAGTGCATCTTAGGCAATTTGAGGTACCTGGTGCTTTTACCGTATAAAATCACTTGTTAAAAGTTGACAAACTTTTTTTTAAAGAAGTAGAGAAATGGTCTTTGTTTGAATTGATACTCAAATAGAAGCTTGAAATAGATTCCAGCTGAACTTGTACCTTCGGATTCCTGTAGGAAGGTCCAGAATTTTTTGCAAGCTGATATCTTCATTTATATGCTTTAAAAATTTGTTTGCTCCAAATCGACCCGTGTGAAAATTTAATCTGAACTTCCCCAGGTCCAAGAGAAATCGTGGCCTTAATAAGAGCTTGCCTGAAGATTTGTTTGATCAATTAGAAGATGAACCACTGGATTTACTTGATCGGCTCAAAACAAGGTCAGCTCTTCGATCATCTGAAAACCTCAAAAGGAGGTGTGAATCTGATGATGAGCCAGAGATAGATTCTGAAGGGCGATTGATAATTCGCGAAGGAGGGAAACTGAAAAGGTTGTTGGCCTCTGATCATAACTCAGATGCAAGGAGTGAAGCTGGCAGTCTGTTTTCAGTGAACTCGGTTAGAACGCAAAAGCGAAGGAAAACATTAGAGTCTGGATGGGCATACACCGGTACCGAGTATGCCAGCAAGAAGGCAGGTGGAGATGTAAAGAGGAAGGATAAGCTTGAACCATTTGCATATTGGCCCCTTGATCGTAAGATGATGAGCCGTAGACCTGAGCATCGGGCAGCTGCTAGAAAAGGTATGGCAAGTGTAGTGAAGATGACTAAAAAACTTGAAGGGAAGAGTGCCTCGACTTTGCTCTCTTCAAAATTCATGAAGTCGAAGAGGATTCAGAAGAGAGGCAGTAAAAAAAGCAAGTAAAGAAAGTATGTCCGTGTATATCAATTCTGTTCTCTAATTATGTTAGTCGCATTCATGGTGGGCTGTTGCTGCAAATTTTGGAAGGGAAGAATATATTATGGGTTTATGTATATGATAGGAACATGTCAAGTACAGAAAGGCAGGAACAAAGATGTACTACCAGTTTTCTTATTTAATTATCCAGTGAACAAAAAAAGTTTGATCATGATGTTTCTGTTTAAATCTCTTTCTCATCATACTTTCTTTTAGTATCACGGACATTAATTTAAGGTATTCTGGATTGTATCTACCATTAACAGCGCATTTGATGAGCTTTAAAAAATCATGCCATAAATAGATTTATGACATCAAATTGTTCAGGATAATTTTGATGAACTGTGGTATGCAATCTGAATTCAGAATATGGTGAAGTAGAGAGAACACTTTTGATGGGTATGATATAGTGGTTATTAGATATAGGAAATCTTTGATGGGTATTATTACGATGGTTCTTTCATTTGTTATTTTAGAAATTTATAATTATTTGGAAATTTATAGTTATTTGGTTTTAATCACTGCGTGGCAAACAACTTACTACATACTGTTGAGTTGGTTGAAGGTTGAATTATGGTTATTCTGTAATTATTATTATTATTATTAAAGTTTGTTATTTGACCTGTGGGTGAGATTACGAATTGAGGTTACTGTGTTAAATATAATCGTTGTTCAGAATATTTCTATCTCTAATCATAAATGTGTAATTAATTGGCCAGTATTTTTATTTAAATCTGAGTATAGTTAGGAATTTATACTTATGGAGCGTTTTGAAATTTGAAAATTGAACATCTTTTATTTATTTATTTTTAATTTATTACGAAATTTTCAAAATAATTTTATAATTAGGAACTTTTTGACAATTCATATGAAATTTGATTATTTTTTAAAATTAAAAATCTATAACATATAAAATATAATTTTGTAATTAATTGAAAATTAAATTCTATTTATATTTTAAAAAAAACTTAGATTATAGCTGTTATATGTATCATAAAAAATATTTTATATTCAAAAATTATATAGTGCATAATTTGTAGTAGATTAAAAATTATATTATTATACTTAAAAAATTAAATTGTTGCATTAATTTATTCTTATATTTTAAAATTTGAGTAGATACTAATATTTAAATTTTATCTTGATATGTTAATATATAAAATTATAGTTGATATTAACATAATATCTTTATTTTTTATTTCAAAAAAGAAAAGAACGCTATATAATTTTTTCCGATGTTACCTCTGTCACTCTCTCTCTCTCTCTATATATATATATATATATATTATGGATTGTTAAATTGTAATTTTAAAACAATTATTTTTCAATTTGTTAACAACGTAAATTTACAGCAACTACGGGTTAAGTAATCATAAATTTTTAGTTTTATTCTCTATATATTGTACTTATATTTGATTATAAATAAATTATCTTTAAAATTTTGAGAATTATTTAATCTGTCATCAAAAGTATGTTTGCTATTTAAAAAAATTTAATTCGTGCTTTGATTGATCCTGATTTTATATATTCATTTGTGTCATATCGATTTGCATGCAGGTTACATATTGATTCAGTTTTATAGATTGCATATTTGTAGTATTTACACCCAATAATGATGATTTGATTTCTCATTTCATACATCGATCTTTCATAATAAATATTACAGAAAGAGTAGTTCGTCGATCTCAATCTTTTAAAAATTTAAGATTTTAATGTAATATTGGTATAAATTAATTAATTTTTTTTATTATATTATCGTTAGAAGACTATTACTTTTAATATTCCAAATACCAATTGGCTTATGTTGTGGAAAAAAGACTAATGAGGTTGATTTCCAAAAGAATACCAATTGTAGGTTTTTCAACTGTCTTCCCTAAAGAAAATCCAAGTTTGCCTCCTAATTGTGGAACTGAATTCCCCATTAATTTGATTCCTAGAATAAGTCAAATTTCTAAATCTTCTCATTGGCATGTGCTAAACTTGAAGAATTGAAGAAGCAATTACAATAAATGTTAGACAAAGGTTTTATGCGATACAATGTATGTCTAAAAAATTGAAGAACAAGATTGCATTTATGGGGCACGCAAGATCCAAATAAGGTGAATGTCTTATTCCATAAAGAATTGAAGTGGAAAAGGGTAATTAATATTACAGAAGTTATAAGTTTTCTTGAACTTGTAGGTTATTTGACATGATATCTAGAAGGCTTGAAATGTTTCCGAAATGTGGAACCCGTGAAGACCAAGGTAGCCGCAGGCGTGACAACTAACCGCAAGAAATTGGCCATGTTGCGCATGTGCGCACATTCACCTAGCATGTCGCACGCGACTTTACATGGCAGCCCGTATGACGTGTGTGTTAGGCCCCAAAACAAGAAAAGGTCGTGAATTAGGAAGCATGATTGAGACTGAGAAGCGAGAAGACCCTATCCAAAGGAGCTTGGATTATGTGAGGTGGCTCTTTGATTCCATCAAGCAAGATCAGCCCAATGGGCTTCCAACAAGGCTAGTCCAAATAAGTGATGAAGGGGGCAGATCGCAGGGACTAGTGGAAGCCCAAGAAGAAGACGATGGCCAATGGCCTTTCGGGCCAAGGGGCCTTCAGCCAGAAGAGGATGTGTAGTCAGGAGGCTTGGTGCACTGAGACGGGCCTGCACCAATGCAGGGCAGCCCACCAGCCCAAGTCAGAAGGGCCGCACACGTGGTTGTGCGAACTAGGCAGTCCACATGCCCGGGACAACACACAAGGGGTTCGCGTAAGGAAGACAGCGTGCCAGAAAGCTCGCACGCGTAGGACAATGTGCACGAGCTCCACGCGCAGGACGTGTGCACCTAAGCCATGCCACACGTGTGACCCACCTCAGACGTGAGAATTTCTCTCCCGCACAGGTGAAGCGTATGGGATTTTCTCTCCCACACGGGTGAAGCATGCGGACGGAACTTGAAACCCCCAATGACTTTTTTGCCACGTGTTTTTGGTGCTTAATTGTTCAAGGATTCTATAGCAAATTACAGCCCATGGAAAAGGGGGAAATTTATCTACATAAATTATTTTAATATTATTTTTATTATAATTTAAATTTTATGTTTTATTCTTAGGATCAAATATTTATTATTTTAATATTAAGAGTAGACTAAACTATTATTTTAATAATTCTTTAAGTATATTTTAATCTTAAGATTAGTATAAATTATTATCTAGCTAGAATTTAGATTAAATTTAGTTATTTGCATTCTAGTAGAATTATTTAGGTGAAAGCCCATAAAAGGATCTCACTGTACATTATAATTCACACATCTTCATAATTGAATAAATCAAAGTTTTTGCTTTAAGTTAGTTATATTACTTTTTAGAGTTCTTCATATGTCTTTAAGCTAGAGAGCTTCAGACTGCTTCATTGAGGGGAGAATCAGGATCGACTTATCGAATAAGTTGTAGCGTCTTTTTTTATTCTTTTTATTTTCTCTAGTTACCTAAATAGGCTTTCAATACATTAATTGCGATTCTAATAGGGAGGGTTTAATTTAGGTAATTAAGTTTTGAATTGTTAAATATAATGGGTTCATTATCGATGTATTTTTGATCCGGTGGAGTAATCATTTTCTACCCCACATTATTATTATTGTCAGTTTGTGGAAGGATTCTCTCGAAATGTAGCTCTTTTAACTCGACTTATTTAAAAGATGTAAAATTTATATGGAATGAAAAAAGTGAATGAAGCTTCAATGAGTTGAAGAATCAATTGACAACTACGCCCTATTTTAGTTATTCCATGTGGCACTAGTGGTGTTATCATTTATAATGATCTTCTCATCAAGAACTAGGATGTGTGTTGATGCAACATAGTACAGTGATAGCATATGACTCTAGATAGTTAGAAAATTATGAATAAAACTATGTGATACATGATTTGGAATTGGCATCAATCGTATTTACTTTGAAGATTTGGCATGTCATTACTTGTATTGTGAAAATTTTGAAATTTACATAATCATAAGAGTTAAATATTTATTTTCACAAAAAAAAAAAAAAAACTCAACATGTATTAAAGAAGATAGATCAATCTCCTTAAAGATTATTATTAGATTAAAGAAATCAACATGCTTTGAAGATTTGGTATGTCATTACTTGTATGGTTAAAATTTTGAAATTTACATAATTATAAGTCTCAAATATTTATTTTCACAAAAAGAACCCAACATGCATCAAACAAGATAGATTAATATCTTTAAATATTATGATTATAAAATTCTTTATGATATGGAAAAAACTAATATTGTAGAAAATGCACTCAGTTTGAAAAAGTACTTATTCTCTTGCATATTTGATGATCTCAAAGAAAAGATTACTAGAATAGGTAAAAAAATTTAAATTTATAATTACAAATGATGAATTCAGGTCTATTTCTTACTAGCTTAAAAATATAGCCTATTTTAATACATTAAACTGATTGTATAAGATATTAAAAATGGGTTGAAACTAGATTTTAATATATATAATGATGGTGTTTTGAATGTAGGAGCAAACTTTTTGTTCCAAATAACTAGAACTTAAGATTAAAAATATTAGAAGAAAACACATTACTTTAAGAATACTATGCATCCAGAATTTACTAAAATGTATCAAAATATATGATTAATGTATTAAGAGAATGGAACGAAAAATGATATTTCTAAATTTGTTTCAAAATGTCTTACATGTTAAAATCAAGATTGAATATCGTGACTAGATTACTTCAACCTTTGTCAAATTCCACAATAGAAATGCGAAAATATGAACAATGGATTTTGTGGTAGGGTTGCCAAGAAGAAGATCAAACCATCATGTTATATGGGTGATTGTAAATAAATTGACAAAATCCAAGACAATTTGGGTTCTCAAAATATAAATTGAAATTAAAAGATCAAGTTCCATATTAGTTTGATTATTAATAGACAGTAAAACTATGATGTGAGCTTTAGATGTCCAATTGAAATTATTCAAAAAGTTATGGGAAGCTTATATCTAAGGCAACAACCTTGACGAAGAGCCCAAGATCAAAATTATCAAGGTTAAACATATTTTACAAGACAAAGGCTCGACACCCATCCATTCACTACTCTTTGTGTCAGGACTTGCCTTAGACATATGATTCACCAAAACTAGATTTTGAAAAAATGTGAAGTTAAATATTTGTGGGTATTTTAAAAAAAATTTGAAAGATTGTGACAGAATTTAAAATTGAGAAAATAGAGTGGGGCAGAATTAGAATTTAAAAAA